GTCTGACATAGTAATTTTTGGCATTTTAAGCAATTAGGCTGAAACTACTTCAAATATAGAAACTTTTGACGACCTGTAGTTTCTTTCATTTATCACTTGGAGGACTCCTCGTAGGACTCTGTAGCCTTGACATATTCAACACAAGATAAATACACAGTCTCCAGAACTCTGCTAAAAGAGGCTGTTCCCTTTCTATCGCCGACATCCTCTGACATTTCCAACGATTTCCTTGCGGAGTCTTCGGCCTTGACATACTCTCCTTGCGAACGAAAAACGTAACTTCTCCTTTTTTTTCGTCAGTTTGTTTTCTGATTAGTAGAGCCTTCACGTGATATTCTTTAGACTTGCAATCGACGTATTGATCCACTGAGTCATACAGCAGTGTAAGGCTTGAATAACTCTGCGTCGCCTTTCTTATTTCCTATTTATTTACTTATGGCATGGACGTGTTCAAGATATTCATTAGCCTTGATACGTTTATAAAAACATCGATAACAATTTCCGAGGCCTGTCTAATTCTTTGCTTCCCCTTTACGGTCACCGATTTCTTTTCTAATCACAAGAGCTTTAACATTATCGAAAAGCACTGAGCGTCGCTAACTTCACCGAGATCCTCATTTAAGCCCGCCAAGTGTACGTAGAAAAACTCCCTGACGACATTTCTAACCGCCATAGCCCATCGCGACGAAGTCCGAGACATGAACCATTACACTGGGTAGATAAGCTCACTATCCTTTGATAATACCACTCTTGCTACGTGTCAATGTTGAGTTGATTTGCGTACCCTAATTTATGACATGATTGACATGAGGGATGATACTCTGACGCTCTGATTGGTACAAGCATACCCCAATGCTGTGATCTGATTGGTGCGAGATAAACCCCACTGCGGCGATCTGACTGATGCGAGATACATACGCTACTGCGGCGATCTGATTCGTACGAGATACATACCCATACATACCTCTACTGCGGCGATCTGATTCGTGCGAGATACATACCCTGATGAGGCATTGTGATGGGTGTTAGCAACATACTCGATTCGCAAACATAGTTATATTAAAAGTAATAATAATAATAGTAATAACAAATGGCACAAGCTGCAGATCCAAGCCATGTCTGTGTTTTATCTTCGCCTTCTATTATTTCATTATCACTCACAAAAAATGTTTTGAACACAATTTCATTTCGTTGACAGATTCTAAAACAATTACATAAACTCCTCACTAAGTATCACTATGTACAATTAAAATTCCAGAATGTGTATTTATATATATCCATTACTAATCAGTCATCCACAAAGACTTGTTTAATATCTTCAAGCGATCAATAAAGTATTAATTATTTCCGTTTAATTTTGTCACTATTACCAAAATTTCTTTTATAGATCGTGATAATCTGCCATGACTATGTTTGGTTTAAAACTCAGGTCACACCTTGTCTATGTTTAAAATATTCTCAAACTGCTAAATTAAATGTTGTTTCCATTTCAAACAACCCACACTACACTTTTCAACTCCCTTCAAAATTACCTGCAACCCAGGATAAATTCAGTTGACAAAAAATTCTCCAAGCCACATTCGAGGAATGAAGTCTAAAATCATCTGTAACTTAATACATCGTACCACCATCCCCTTTCAATATTGGAATGTATTTATTCAATTTTGTATATTCACAAAAAACAAAGTGAACCACTATCCAGTACATGGGAGAGAGGGTTAGAAAGTGTTCAGTAAAACGGATGAAATGTGTATACAATTCCAAAATATCCGGCTCTTCATAGCAATGTGTCAACTGTTTTGTCCCAGATTGTGGCTACCCTTCTGTTTCTCATTCACATTTTGTAAAATTAAGTGCAATAACTTATGTCAAAATACAGTTAGAACTCCTTCTTCTTTTTTAACTTAATGAGTTACTTTATCTGCTACAATTAAAAATTAAATTCCCCAATGATTGAGATCTTATGTCAGATTATACAGAATCTATTCAAAAAATATTGCTATTATACCATGATTTTCAAAATATTCTCAGTAACAATGTTGTGTGGAAAATACATCATGACAATTAGTTAAGTGAAAATAACAGTGGTAAACCTACATGACTAAGGTTGCCACATTTTTCTCAGATTTACTACCTTACTGTAAAGAAAAAATAAAAAATTTCATTGACTTGAGAATCCTAGTGGACCCTGATCAAAGGATTTACAAAAGCACACCCCTAATACTCTATTTTTTAAATTCTAATTTCTCATATTCAACCCTCTGTACTTAGTGACAGAGTGGGAGACTGACTGGGAGGGCAGGAAAATAAACCAAACCCCCAAAAAACAGGAAAAAATTTGGCTTGAGGTCCATACCTGATGACTAAAACCCACATATTTTCCCCCTTGACTCAACTTAAAAGCATTTTAGCATAATTAGGACCACTGCTCTTTCCCTTTCTTCTTGCATTTTTCTTTTCCATCTTCACATAATACATGACCCCACGCTTAGCTGTGTACTGCCAGTCCTTGTGCCTTGAGGGTTTTTGTTATATTTTCCCATAAAGCACAAGCTGGCCCATACTGGTCATATACTAATTTAAAAGAAATCGCTGAAGGTTTAACGAGCACTTCAAATCAAATCTATTACAAAGTGCTACTAATATTCCATTTGACCAATTGAACTGGTTGGATAATATAAACCAGTTGGACCATTGTCTCATGTTCGACCATTTTACATGTATGTGGTTAAATATAACAAAGGCCAAAATTTTGTTACTAACCGGTACTCATTTTAAAACCACATCAGACACCGTCAACTACCCTGTTCTAATTCAATTGCTTGGAATTTTTTTGAACTACAAAAGCACAGTCATTTATTTTAGGCTCTGTTTCATAACCATCAATTCTTACTGCAACTCTAGCATTGCCTTTGTCTTGTTAATAAATAGCAATTTTACGTTACATATAAAGGTAATTGCATTAAAATAATTATATTTATTCGTTTATTACTGCTGTACATTATGTCTCCGAATTCTAGAATTAAGAGTGAACATTGCTTTTACAGTTGAGCGAAAATAACTTTTAAGGAGTTTTTTTTTTTTTTCTTTAAACTTAATTATCAATTACTTGTCCCATACTACAAATATAAACGCAAACATTTCCATGTGTGTGAATGGGCTACTGGTAAAAAAATTCCTACAGTTGGTGAAAAGTTTAGTCTAGTGAATCAGTGAGACAAGCCCCATACAAGAGATTCCAGCAATCATCATGATAGTCTGTTTGATTGACTCCCTGAAAACAATAAAATAACATTCATTTATTAAACTGTAAAGATGCTATAATTACATGGAAAAGATTTATACATACAAAAGATTGGTACCAAAAACATCTGTTTGTTATGACTGATCAATTCAGCTTCAGTTGATGACAAAAAGATAAAAAGTTAACAAGAATCCTTCTCTAGACATTTGTGGGCTTCTATTCAGTCAAGTACATTTTGGTTGATGGTCAGAAGACCTTCACAAATCAACTGGTTCAGCACAGTTTACTCTCATAATAGATGACCTTCCCTATATACTTTAATTACAATTTACAGTTAAAAAGCAAATCACAAAAAGATAAATAAAATAAATAAATGGAAATTTTGCAACATTCCAAAAGTGTTTCCAGGTCAAATTGGAATTTAGAATGTTAGTTTTTGCAAAAGGAGGAAAACTAAATGATCCCAAGAAAAACCCTCGGAGCAAAGATCAACACCAACAACAAACTCATCCCACATGTGACACCAACCCAAGCCACAGTGGTGGGAGGCAAGCACTCTTGCTACTGCACCATCCCTGCTCCCATGCTCAATTTAGAAGTCAAATGCTGTGGTGAAGACCCTCGGTTGAGATCTGTTCACTTTCCCCTCCCACCTCACCCCCCCTCCCCCCCCCTCCCCCCCAGGTGTTTGAACCAAAGCAAGTTACAACTGTCCCATACTAATTACAGCAGAGTGTAGATTTTTTAACATTTTCCTAAGGCTTCCAAACTCATCAAAAATTTCCTAACTTCATTTTTAATCTACATGGTTATCAGCCATGCTTATCAGTCTCTTTGGTAGCCACTGTTTGATCTTGTCACACAACATATCCTCTCTCAGCCCAGTGGGGAAGGGAGAGAGATGACATATGGCCTGACAAAACCAAACAAACCCCAGGAGATTTGAGATACAGAATACAATGTTTCTTGAAGAACTCACTTTGGTCTTGTTTCCTTTAAAAGATCTGGAACAATGGTCACCAAGGCAATATAGATAAAGCCTCCTGAGGTAAAGGGAAGAACCCAGGCCGTTGAATCTCCTAATGAAAAAAAAAAATGTAAATAAAAATTATTATTCTATAGTTTTTCGTATTCCGGACTGTTGAGGAAGGGTAAGGAAATTTACCTACATGTAATTATAAGCAGACAGTTTTAGTTTGTATAAATTTCATGATCTCACTAACATAAGTTAGCAAGAAACAAACAAACAAACAAACAAACAATCTAACCTGCATGATCAGCTATTAGTCCAAAAACACAACCAGCAAGTCCAGCTGATGCTGTAACCATCTAGCAAAAATAGAAAAAAGAAGTGAAAACTTTGCAAAATTAAATAAATTCTGTCAACAAATGTTCATGTAGCTTGTTACCACTTCTGAAACAGAAGACCACAGAGACCACATGTAGCTTTGTCAAGTGTCTCCACCCTGCACATTTAAGTTCACCACGTTTTTCACATCATCATCATGAGATGACATCTAAGAACTTGAGATTTTAAATGTAAAGTAAACAAGCAAAATAAAATTTTCTAAATTAAGTTCACATAGCTTACTTGTCCTACTGCTGCATCCCATCTTCTGAACCCAGATTTTAAAAGGATAGCAAAGTCACCAACCTGTTAACAAATTAACAAAGGGGGGGTAAGTTTCTGAAACAACTTTGGTTTAGCATCAATGGAGGGTATTACCTAATAACTTGGTTTTGTCAACTGAGTTGACTTCACTCATAGGCTAAAGCTTAAAACATCTGCTTCAGAAACTCTTAATGGTGGCCAATTTTACTCGGTTGATGAAATCAAATTATCTTGTATAAACAAATCACATTTTAAACTTCTTTTAGATAAAGTGTTCTACAGAAATACACTGCGACTATAACATGATAGATACAATTATTATAACTTAAAGTATTGAAAATAAATAAAACTAAAAGCTAAAAATATAGTAACCATAACATTCATTACTATTATTATTAATAATTATTAATTATCATTATCTTAATCAAAACAATACAATGTACAGCTCCATCATGACCCAAACAATATTCATGTATACAGATCAAAAGCTCTCAGCATCCAGTGCACTTACTTCATGTGGTACTTCATGCAAAAGAATTGCACATGTTGTACACAATCCAACCTGCCACAGGGAAAATAAGAAATCCAATAACTTAAAACAATAAATGATAACACAATAATATGAACAAGTAAACAACAAAAACAATGCAATGATGAATAAATTTTGAAAAATTTGTCACTGAATTTCTGAGTCACGAGTTAGAATTTAGGGGTGACTCACCTTTGTACTGACAACAAAACTCCCAGCCACAGCAAGGCCATGTGTAAAATTATCAATTGAGTTAGCTAACAAGTTAAGATATCCGATAACCTGAAAACCATCAAACAAAATGATAATGCTCCGATTCACATATTTTTATCATAACATTGCCCTAGCTAGGATATGAAAGTATATAAAGAATAAACAGTTTTTCAGATTTAAAAGTAACATAACTAAATACACCTTAACTCAAGTAAACTTACCACACACTGGTGATGGATGATCATTATAAACAAACCCTTTCCACACTAACATTTGAATAAATATTCTCCATACCCATCTCCAAACATTTCCTTTGGTAATGTTAAGGAGAATTTGTTCAACAATCAAAGCTTCTTCAGTTGGCAATCAATTCATTTGTTCCTGTGATCTCAATTAATGTTTCAGTTGTATTACTATTGGGTGAAATAAGATGCTGATCACTTTTGGTATTGAAAGGGATAAAGTTGATACTTACTTTAACATTTTCTTCCTTTGTGTCTTGTGTTTCTTGAAGATCTGTTATTTTAGGAAGAAAAATAGCAGATAAAGAACATTTTAATTTGATATTCCACTTCTTGACAAGTCATTTATATTAAATGAAGAGATAGAAATGGGAAAATGATTTTGTACAGGTACACGAGGACACTTCAACCTGTTAAATTTGAGTGTTCTTATTACCTGTTGGCTGGAAAATGTATGTATATTATAGGGAGAAGTTACAGGAACTTGTCAGTCACTTCTACAAGTTAAAGGTATCTGAAGTTTGATACGATGGAAAGAGTTGAAAGGTACCAATAGAATTCATATTGTTACAAAAAATTGTCTAAGTCAAGTCCTAGAACATTCTATAGAACAGTTTAGAACCCAAAGTCATCTAGACGTGACCTTCTGGTAAAAACAACATTCTGGAACGTTCTATTTCTTACATAATTATTCAAATTTAGAAACCATGTTAATCTACTAAATTTAGTTCTTTAGAGAAGTTTCTAGATCCTTGTACTTTATGTATATAAGAGTGACAGTTTCATTAAATGGAGAGAGAGAATTGCGAAGAAGCTTAGTGCTGTAAAGACAAGAAGTCAACTGCATGGAAATAAAACAGTTTGTTGTTGTTACCGACGATCCTGAGTTTTGTCTAGGAACAACCCTGCTCTACATCGACACTTGTAACACATATTCTTCCTACCTGTTTCTTGAACTGTTCCATTTGGTGTGCTACTGTCACTTGAAGTATCTCTATTTCTTTGCCTTAGATGTGTGTCTGACTTTTTAACGTCTCCATTTGAAACTGTCCCATTATGAAGTTTTCCATTGCATGCATCTTTCTTCTTTGCTGAGTTTTCATGATGAGCACATCCATTGGAAATGGCACCATTTGTGACATCCTTGGAAAAAGAATCAACAAGACTTAAATCAAAGTTTGCGAATATACTACGTCATCAAGATACATGTACAAAAAAATTAAGTATAATGCTAACAATAATTTTGATAGCACAAAAGATCCATAAAAGTTGATTGAAGTACAGCCAAGAGCAACCCAGTGCTCACTGAACTTTCCAATTCCTTTATATCTGCAAAGCTGACACACATGTATGATCCAATTGTCATACAACATTTTCAGAGCAGTTGTTCATGCACCAACATCAACAGGTACATGTAGTCTGTGAGCACAAGCAATGAGAATAGAAGATAAATGTACACTTATGACATTAAACTCAGTTAAGTGAAGTTATCATGCAGCTTCTCTCCCACTAGTTTCAACAACCCAAAAAAGCTCGCAAATTTGTGACTTTCTGGAAACTGTAAAAGCTAGGATAACAAATTGTTTAAATCTGCCCAGTGTACAGCTTGCTAGCTCACAGGCTTATACTTTGTTCCTTAACCCCTAAACTTCCAAGATCTAATCCTTAATTCTCCCTTCTGGCTGCTACACATTTCCTTGTAAATTAGTGATGAGATTTGGTGCAGGATGAAGATAGCAGCTTCCACCTGATAAGTTTGAATATTCTCATTACCTGTTTGCTGGATAACGTACAGCTATTAAAGGGAGAAGTTTCATTTTAATCACTTCTGGGAGTTAAAGGGTTAAAAGCTGAGGTCAATCCCAAACTAAATCATTTCAAGTAAAAACATCCTAACTCACCTTTCCTTCACTTTTGTCCTTCTCCTTGAGACTTTTTTCATCTTCATTTTCTTCAGCAAATATTTTTTCTAAAGTTAAAAATCCAAACATTCCAGCCAGCACCCAAAAGCCAATATAGAAATGGTTGGTATGTGGATCTCCTATGAGAAAAAGTAAAAAAAAATATAAAGTACAATACATGTAGGTAAATGTGCTTCACCTGGATGTGTTAGATGCCAGTGGCTTGTTGGTTAATCTGCCCAACTCCAGAACCCAGTTTTCTAATGGGTAGATAATGCAATCCCACAGATAAATCACTTTCCGGGAGATAAGTGATTGCAAAACTTACTGTGCCATCCACCAGACAGAGATTTATCTAGTAGATACCATTACCCCAAGGCCAGGTTAAGAAATACAGTTACAATAGGCGGGTTATTGTGTTGTGTTCTTGGGCAAGATATGTTAATCATAACTGCTTCTCCCTACTTCACAGACAAAAATTAATTGCATTTCCCTGAAAGATTGGTTTATGCTCTTCAGTAAAGAGGGGCAATAAAGAAAGGTATTTATCATGCATCTTGCACAAGAAGATCACAAAATGCCCCAGCCATTGGGTAAAGACAGACCTAGCAATCCACAGAGCAGAGCTAACCAACAGTGCAGTGACAGCCCTACAGAAAAGAACTGTGGAGAATTCTGAGGTATCATCAAGTTTTAATAGTGATCATTTTATCAATAAATGAATGTTACCTTCATGAACATGTGCCCAAGCCTCTGGCAACAGATGAAGAAAAACATCTCCTAATAAACCACCGACAGCAAAACTTAAAAGCAACTTCAGATGATCCGCTGTGACTGGAAGGTAAGAATAACAAAATGTGTTTTAAAATTAATTTCATTTGCATTTGGCTGAATCACCCCAATGTTTAGCAGAATATATTTATCAAATAATAAACCTTACACCCTAACCTTACTGTAGCTTTCTATTCCTCTTAGTAGTCACTATACATTATCTATGACACTGAGAAGGAGAATTTGTTTAGCAATCAAAGCTTCTTAGGTTGGGGATCATTCTCATGATCTGAATGAATGATTTACAAGTGTTGCTGCATGGAGAATGCTAGTCACTCTTCCGGTTTAAAGGGTAAAAAAGCCAGCATCACCCTATTTTCCGCTCATCAAATGTCTAAATCTCAAAATGTTAGTGACATAGCTATCCTGAGGGCAAGATGGCTCTCCTGGGGACAACATGTAACTCAGGAGAACATGGCGCAAGGGTGACCTGACTCCCACAGTGAAATCCGACTAAAGGAGGGTTTTACGTTTTTGAGACATCCCAAAGAGATTTGAAAATCATTACATAAGAGGGTAAAAAAACATCTGTTTGGATTAGGTCAAGTGTTAAAAAAAAAAAAAAACATCTATAAAATTATGTAACAGACACACGCAGAGATTTTGAAAATCATGACATAACCGGATAAAAAAATTCTGTTTGGATTAGGTCAAACATTAAAAAAGTATATTTATATAACAGATACATGCACACTAATGCTGAAAAATAGAACAAAATGTACCACGAGATTCAAAGCAAGCTACAGTACTTGAGTTTTTTTTTTTTATCACAGATTAAGCCCCTAAATTTGGTTGTGTTACTTATCTGAATTCAAACTTCAAAAAAATAATTATTATTTCTCGTTAATTGTTTACATTTCAGGAAACCATTGGCACTAAAGTAAACTGACAAAATTATTAGGGCGGCCCAGCTGACAAATATCCTGGAAGAAAATCCTCTTACGGTGTAAATATTGGAAATGATGGTAATATTCCTGTTTAAATATAGCATTTTCGCACATTACGTCAAGATGAAATTTGAGATATTTTTCCACAACGAATTACGAAATTTCGACAGAGTCGGATGACAAAATCTAGGAGTTATTACAACGTTATTTAAAATCTATTAGTCATGCAAATTTTTTCTCGTCACAAAAACAGGAATCCCGTTTTAATAAACGCTTGAGAATAAGGAACATTATCTACTTAAAACATTTTGAAGATAAACAACTGTTAAAAGATTTGTGTCACTGCAACAGTGTATTCAGAATATTCGTGATATACATGTTGCTTGGATATTATAGGTGCGATTAAATTTCTTCGTGAAACCACGAACCTTTTTCGAGGAAACGTTAACTAGCGTGTTGTTTTCATCTTACACTGCTAAAACTCGAATTTTGTTTACCCTATAAGGAAATTGCATTTAAGAGAAAAGGTACAGAAGTGTTCTTTTTAGGAAAGAAAAATATACTATGAATTAAAAAATTAATTGGCGACTCGATTCCCATTACTTCTGCCGGGGTGAAATAACGTGTACGTGAGAACGGAGAAATATCCACAAAGAAGAGAGCGAAAAGCTAAAAGATACAAATGCAAATATAAGCTGAGCACCTTGGAAAGAAATATTGATGAAGATTTCGTTTGAGTGTTTTTCGCTGAAAGAAATTCTTTACCAGAATAAATTACTGTACGTAAAAGTGAGTCGCCACAATAACTCGTCGAACTACTTCACGTTAAGTTCGTTTTATGTATGGCGATTTAAAATATATAGCGATTTAAAATATATCGCGATTTAAAATATATCGCTGCAAAACCCAATCTCAAAAACAAACCTTTTGCACAGAGGACAGGAGGCGTAAATTGTGTGTACAATGCTCTATTGATTAAAAACAGCTGGTTAAATGAATTCAATACGCTGTCCATTTCCCAATAGGGATCGGTTTCGCCACTCTGTTTAATTCACAATCTTTGCTTAAATACATTGCAAGCTAACCGTTGTTTTCTCGAATACCAAATCGAAAAATGTGCCTTTTGGGGGTAACATTTCAAAAGGCTTCCTCGAGCCTTGGGTACTGCGGAAACAGAAGCCGTATCGAATTTACTTTAAAAGAGCGACAACACCAAGGTATCCAGAGATAAAGAGAACCAAACTATAATTTAACTAACAACTCACCGCCTTCTCGCAAAGCCTGTCCAGCTTCCACAGGAATCACAAGAAGAGGAAATATACCGCACATTCCAACGAGAATTGTGGCCGGAATCGAGTATAACCACGCTTCCTTCTTCACGAACATCTTCGACAAGTCAGGCAGAAATTTACAGGGTTCAAAACCAAACCAACTCAAGTCTGAATCTGCGCGTGTTTGCTTGGCATTTCGCGGCACAGCGCGATGAATTTTCACCATAGCAGTCTCTGAAACGAAAACTGAGAGCCATAGAAGGAAGACAATGGATAGCCGTAAAAATTTCGCCATGACTCAAGCGATTTGTGAGAGCATCTAACCCCGCACGACGTTTTTCCGGCCTTCCCAAAGACTTGATGTACGCGATTGCTACTGGTGTTTATGAAGTCTGGGTAAAACTTGAGCCCACAGTACAACAATTGTAGGTCCGCAATGCGTAGGAAGAGCTAGTTCATCTTTATAACAAAAGATTGCTCACTCTACTTAGAGATTTGAATTTTATCTTATCTACCCCTAATGGTAACTCAACAAAACTTACAATTAAAAAATTGATTTCCTTGATTGGTGTTCAAACATCTGCCGACCCATCAATTCTCATTTAAATTCACCCTAAAATGAAAATCAACCAGACACGCCGACGACAGCCCTTGTCGATCAAAAGAAACAATATGGAACAAAAAACCCAAATGAATCTTTTCAAGACTTATTTGCGTCTGCAAATTTAAAAATTCGACCTGAAGAAAACTTACAAATCAATTTTGGCAGCAAAAATGAACCTATTGTTCCGAGAGGTATTTTTCCATGACATTTTACTCCATGTAAAAGCTTAAAATCTACATTTCGCCGTGTCACTATGAAAATGACTGCCAAGAAAAGAATCGTCTTTAAGACTTTACATCTAGTTCTTGTGGTATCACTTCGGCGAAAAGTTCTTTATGACTTCATTAGAAAAATACATATCTGACAATAGAATATATATTTGAAACTACTTAAATTTACGTCAACGATCAAACTTGCATGCGCCAGTAACTGTAGATTTCTCTGAAATTTTCTGTCCTCCTTCAGCCCCCGCAGTGGCTGTAAAATTAAATTTTGCTCAATGCTAATGAATTTCGTTGTAGTTTCTCCACCCAGTATTTTAACAGAGAAGTAATTTTACTCCTCCAAAAGACTTAAATCTACATTTCGTGGGTTCAATATGGACGTAAGTGACAAGAAACTTGAAAAATTTTTAACTGTACAGCTGTTATCACCATCCATTCTCACTTAGATCCTTAAAACTTTTACCGCGGGCGAAGACGAAAATTTGGATCTTATTTAAATGATGTGACCAAATCTTACGTCTCCTTTTTGTGAAAATAGTGGTAAATTTCACGGAAATCTGTTTTTTCCCACCTCGGCCCCCGCAAAAGAGAGATAGATGTCGAACTGATTTCCTTTGTTTGAGGAACCTCCCGGTTTTCCTTCCTCGACAGAAAATCTTGATTCAAAATTCCACATCGGTTTAGAATCAGTGGACAGGGATAGAAACTTTCCATGAATCAATTATTCCTGGATCTCGTTTCAAAACATCAATTTATTCATTTGACAAGCTTGGGCCGATCAGGAGCCCCTGGACAGACCCATTCATTTATTCATTAATTTACCTATTTATTCATTGGCTTTTTTTTTCAAAATTAATCATCCCTTGGCCCCTCCCCCCCCCTCTCCCATCCCGAATCGAAGCTTTATTTCACCCGTCGCCATGCCAGGTGTTCCGAGTGCAACCGACAAAATCGAAAAGCCAGTTCGTGACCGCAATTGCCCACGGACAACATTTTGGAAGTTTGACGTTTCAAGTATTTTTACTCGCTTTGTTCAGCAAGCCGGGGGTGGGGGTGGGGGTGGGGTGGGGTGGTAAGGGGAGGGGGGGTGGGGTGGTAAGAGGAGGCGGGGCTTGGTGGTCACAATGTATCGGCCGATATCGGCCAACTTTATTTGTAGGAGCCTGGCTTGTTTATTTACCAATTGGGATCTACTTTCGAGAAAAGGGTGGTGTTGCTGCAATGGGGTCGATTGTTGTGGCAATGTCGGTAACAGCCTTCTTTATTCCGTTTCCAAAAAATCAATTCTTTCTACTTATTCAGCAATAAACGTACACTAGTTAAAGATTAAATTAATGAAAAGATCATTTGTGGGCTGGATTAACTGTTCTACAGATCAATTTAATTTCCTAATTATTATAAAATTCATATCATTCCTAAAGTATTCTTCTCCATTTAACGGACCGTTCGGTATCTTTTTAAAACTCGTCTTCTAGTCCTGATCCAGCCAATTTCTCTTTGATCAGAGAATCAAATCGCTTGCTTTGGTCTTCAGTGAAATAATCCTTCCAGTTTCCCACTTCACCTTTACGAATGCAAAGACCTTTGAACCCTCTGAGAAAGGAAAAATTAGAGTTTCCTTCTTTTTGCATGGCGTTGAATGATGTTTGGCTGACAATACGCTCCAGAGTCTCGAGGGGAAGCTCTTTCCCAATGAAAGTGGCAATTTTTCTAATTGTACCAAGCAAGTCCTAGTTAAAGGGAGGTTCGAAAAAACAATGAGTGATGTTCTGTAATGTTAGTTGGCGATAATATCGCTACATAAAAAGCAGACTTTTTAGAATTACGATGAAGCCCGTTAAACTAAAGCTGAGGGCACCATACAGAGTGCAAGTACCAACGAAATGATCTTGATGGATATTTATTATGGCCAAATGATGTCCTTTAGCGTAGCAAAATATATATAATAGATAGCAAACTAATGATATGCTACCAGTTTCATTTTTCTTTTTTGTTTTTTTTTCGGCCTTATCTTAAGTTCGACCAAAACAGGAAGCCAAGATGATTCATGACCAAGATGTACAGGACCCCACTCTCCTCCCCTCATCAGGCCTACATTCTCTAACCTTGACTTAACGTGCTCGAAACAAATCTCAAGTGCTTTCCAGACCCCCTCTTTTCACACTCACCTCCTTCATGTCCTCGTACTTTAGAATCAATACATCAGGATCATCCTTGTGTTTCCACCAACTGAGGACATGATCAAACCACGGGCCATAATAAACTACAAACAAGATCAGGTAAATCAGCAAAATAAAATATTGCTTTTCTTTTTTCCCGAATCTTTGAGCTTCAACTTTAAGATTTTCACAGCATCAGTGTCTAGGCTTTCCGTCAGTGGAGACGACAATCTCGTTACCAGGGTTTTTCTTCTGAAGGAAAAAGGTTCCCTGGGAACGAGGTTATGGGGACGAGCGAGAACGGGCACGAACGACCAACAGTAGGTGAGGTTGTCGACTGAACACCGCAGTTCTTTGCGCGCGCTCTCGCTTTTTCGTCTCTTAACACGAAAAATGTGTTGCATGCTACGGTTTTGCTCCCTGATTAGGTCAATTAGGCAAAGGCAAAAGGCTGTAAACAATTAGCTAAATATAGGTTAACTTTACAAACAGGCGCAAATCAGTTGCCTTTCCCTTGGTAGAATAGCTCAAATAACTCATCCCAGGAGAGAGCTTCTCTGCCAGATACTTTTCCCACAAATTCAAAAAGAGATACAGCCACATCTTTCGGGTTACGCATGACGTATATATAACGTGCTTGTGGCTTTGCAGCCTGGCCACACCCCTTGGGGACCAGGTCATACGGTAGATGTGATTTAAACACGCGGGGTGATGGAAAGCATTCAAACATCTTTTCTATCATCCCAGCAGACGTCACTAAATAAGGGTTCTCAGGTTGTGCATATGGCATTCCATCGACCCAGGGCATTCGCACATGCAAAGGGCGATAATCGATCTTGCCATCGTTGATTATCTGCCAGACGATTTCCTGAGTCCAAGTTGTTCCTATTAATGATAAAAAAAAAAACACTTCAATGGGTAATTTTTCCCTGCAGGTATGATTATAATGGTGCATCAAGCAAGCTCGGGCACCGGCCAGGCGAAGGGTAATAGAGAGGAAGTGAGTACGATTCTTTTCGATCCCCTCCTCCTCATAGAATTTTGATAAAACAGTAGCTTACGGAAGGAGCGGGGAAGCTTACGAGATTAGAACCGGCGAGAGGTCAGTGATGGGTCTGGCACTAAAAATGATAATTACGAGTGAAACGAGTAAGCATCTTACAAACCTGATCTTGGAAATGTACAAACAAAGATGTCTTCTTTCTTGGGAATTAGCTTCGGAAATGTGTCCAACATTTCCTTGGTAGTGCCTTTTACCCAGACTTTTCCATCAATCACAGCGTCATTACTTGGCCCTATGGTGCTGTCTTCTGACATGGACATTTCGTTATCAAACTAGACCAATAAATACGAAAAACTATAAATTACTTGACTGACATTAGGGAGAGAAGATTTTACTACTTTTTAAATATGGTAACTCGGAACACTATCTTTACGTATCGATTACTTGATTGATTGATAATGCTACAGCTTTCAATTTGTTTAAGTCTGAACACTGTCAGGGAAGCCTGACCAAATTCGCCTGATGCAACTTTGCCAGAACCAATTTATACTCCTGAGAGGCATTGTGAGAGTGAACTGTTTTGCCAAAGAATACAACACAATGACCCCGCCATGTCTCTCTTTAAACCTGGACCTCTCTACCCGAGTTTAGTACACTCACTAGTACGCTACTTCGTCTTTCACGACACCACGATTCGTTTGCTTCCTTGAAAATAATATCGAACAACAGCTTAGTCACTTCTCAACTAGGTTTTGACGCAAACTATACGTGTGACCATACAAACGTAGCAAGACAAATGCGGCATGTCGAGAGCGAAAATGTCGTGCACGTGGGTTACACATGGAAGTGAACCAATGTCATCCCACATTTGTTATGTCCTGGGTCCGTCACAAGCTTGTCACATGCAACAAAGTCAGTTCCGTGTAGATCGGACCTTAAATATATGATAAAATACTTAAGTCGCGATCTCAGTGAAAGCGGTCCAAGGCGTTTCGCATCGGAAAAAAGTTTGCCTCAAACTTTGTCTATCTATGGTAGTTAGTAAATAAAACCATATTGGTCTCTGGAAGTAAGTTAAAAAAATTTTGAGAGCTCTCAAATTGCTAATTTCCTTCGCCTTAGTGACCTCAGACTTTTGGTGATTTTGCTAGCTCGACAGCAGAATTATGCAAATTAGTCTGCAGTGCAAACTCCGACCGTTGATACTGATAGCTTCATAAATCTTAAATTTTAACCACTTTTAAAGAAAAGACTGAAAAGGCTTTTAGAACACACTGATTGATACTATAAACATTTTATACGGCTAAAATAAGGCAAATTATCCTGTCCCGTGATGTAAACGGTAAACAAAAAGTATTGACTATCATACTGAAACCAATTTTCAAAGAGTTTCTCATTAAAACGTTGACCGAACGCTAATCAATATGAGTCACTCAGGGGAAGGAAATTAATAAGTACACGATATTTTTATATACAAACGATTTCTCGCAGGACGTAGTGTGTTACGAGGAGAGAGCTTATCAACTTTTGAAATTTTCGATGTCGCAAGAGGTCAGAAAGGGATCTTTTGCAGCTTCGATTATTGAGAGTTCTCAGTATTTTTATTAATGTATTCCCAGAAACCAATGTGGTTTTATCTACTTATCACCAAAAATAGTTTAATGGGCAAAGTTTGAGGCAAAACTTTTTTCCGATACGAAACGGCTTAGACCGCTCTTACAGAGATCGACGCCTAACTGCCTCCGTTATGTAATCGAAAATCAGTAATTCTGTATTCTTTGTCGCTGTCATTGATTTGAATTTCTTGAATTTTCGACGTCTTCACGTAAATGGAAAGTAGCGCGCTCATTTACTTCAGCAAAGATGCTATCGCGTGAGATCAGATAAACATTTGCCCAGACCTACCATGTTTTTCCGCCCGCTTCACTTTTACCGAACATGATTCTTACAAATGTTGAAACAAAAATTGGACATTATTGTACATTATGTGGACGCCAATTAATTTAACTTTCATGCGTTAAAATACAATGTGCTCTTCATCTATGAGCTCTAAAAATTACAGGGGAGGAGGCAGGTCAAAGTAAAACATGAATTAAAAAAGGAGGGCCCCCATTAATTTCAGTCCTCATTAAAGGAGGATCCTCACCTTTCCAGATTCCAACCTTTTAAAACTCGCAAATCTTGTGACCAATTCCGTATATCAATGTTTAGTTTGGGTATAAGCATTGATAAGAAACACCGTGCATTAATGAAAGCTTGAGCGAGAGCATTTAATGCAATCTAAATAATAATGTTACATGTTACAATGTGGTAACTTACACGGCAAAACTATATAATCACACAATTCTAAACAAAGGAAGTCAGGCTATCGACTCACCTGCTTCAACTTTGAGGGCTTATTAGGTACAGAGAAATAGATATGGCAAACAGTTACAATTAATACAAAGTTGAAAGTTTGAAAGCTAAAATATATACATTGCAATCATCAGACCCTATGTATCCTAGCAAAGAAAGGGTCAATTACAACAATTACTTCACCCAAATATTCATGCTTACAGGAAGTCATTAATTTTTATCACCAGGTGGTACTGTACTTACAATAGTTCTACCGACACAAGTACATTTTTCTTAAGTTATCTCATAACATATGACTGTTCAGGTCATGTGGAAAGTTCCTGCATAGGGCTAACATTTCAATTACTTCAGCAAACTGTAATCATAAGAATTGCAAGCCAAGGTGTATTTACCAAGTGCTCAAGTTTCCAAATTAGTCACCTAATTGTTACAGTGGAGTTCACTCCTTTTTGAGGCTATCGTCAGCTTGATCATCCTGTAACAAGGGAAAACATCAAATGTTACTCACATATTCAAATAATTACTTGAATCAAAATTTATAATTTTTTGAATAACCTGATTCCTTTAATTATGCTCCAGAAATAGTAAATGATATTGAAGAGAAAAGAAGAAAGTTCTTGAATGTAGAATCCAAAATCTAACTAACTCACTGGTGAATAGGAAAAAGCTCATTGTGTTTTTACTGCTTCTGTCATTCTAAATATTACAAATCAATCACGCCGCCAAAAATTGCAAAATACTGAGAATTACTGTTCAACTACAACCTCACCAGTTTGATTTCCCGCTCAAAACGCGTGTTGCAGATTATTTGCTCACGCAGCTTCACATCTACTGGCTCACGTGAAGCCCTCGTGTAATGCCTAGCCGTATGCCCGCGGTACGCTGCACTAAAGCTCGGCACTCGAGTATGCGCACTTCATTGTGATCTGCCAGTGTCCCCTGGCACTAATGGGGTATCCTGGTTACGTACGCTATCACGCCTGCGCATTACCTTCTCCTTTGCCCTTCCATTGCGTAATGTCTAAGTACGTACCCGCAATGCACTTGGCCGCGCATGCTAAAAGCAGCACCTCGAACAGTTGGTCGTACGGTCGTAAGTCCAAAATTTTTCGGCTTGATGGGTTACAACTATTTCGTATAACTATGGGGCTACACTGCGAGCTCCGCAATTAGAGAGTTTAAGAAACGACGATGGTTAGTTTCTCGCTGTCCAAACTATTTCAAAACTGAATATGGAACGCAGCGTTAAATTAGAAATAGAAATTTAAAAAATTAGCCGTCGTCGTTCACGTTTTCCAGAGAACGCAAAGTTTGGTTATGTCACGTTATTGTTTTGCAGAGGACGCAAAGAAATTTACAAAGATTTATAACGCACGTGCATAGCTATTGTTTTGCTTATTAAACCTTTTGTGACGTTCCCGTTACCGTTGTGGTTTTTTAAACTCCCTACTATTATTGAAACAGGAACGTGAATTTATTTTTACATGGCAAACCTCTCCTTGCAATACTTTAGCACGACTATTTATGTATACCAACACCAGAGGAAACTGGTGTTATTCAGTTAAGAATGAAGCACTTACTTGCAAAATGAAGTAAAAGTTTTCAGGGCTCTGAAGACAGTCTATAACGTGTCAATGAGTACCACACTGAGAAAGAGTCCGTTATCCAAAAGAGGGTAGCAAAGGGTTTTTGCTTGACACGTGATGGCCCCAAAATCTGCAGGGTAACGCGTGATTGAACCCAAATGGATCCTTGTGTTTGCACAAAGACTTCCGGGATCGTCACGGGGCAAACATTGCAAGTAGGTGGCGAAAGGTTGTGTCGACGTCCATAAAAACGATTTTGGAGAGAGATCAACGCATTTTCGACACAGTTTTAGCATCAATGGAGTAAAATAATGTTGATACGAGGAAAGTGTAAGTTTTGTTTTGTCATACCAGTTCTCGCGAGATAACTTGTGAGCCATGTTCAAAACTACGAAAAAATTGTCAAAACTACGACTACTGACTTATTAAATAACAAACTGTGATGACTATGGTGCCCAGACGAACACCTCAGATGTCGAATTGAAAAAAATAAAAAAATCTTCGCGAACAGAACTTCCCGGAAGGTGAAGCAAACAACAAGCTATTGGATGAAGAGGATACTCAACGGAGCAACTTGAATAGTTAATACGTACGGCTTAACTCTTGTGCTAAATATTCTAATTCTTTAATTTGTTTTTTCTGTGTTTGATACTTGTAACGCACGATGTGATATTGCGATACGAAGCATGTGTAAACGCTCTAGGTGCGTCTACTTTCGACAAGT